CATCTCGAACATGATCAGAAGCGGCAACCTATCGGTGGGATCACTCAAATCATATGAGAAGCAGTCTGTGCGGCCTACCAACCTAAAGGAGCTGTTTAGTCAAAAGTGCCATCACAAGAAAGGGCTTTCAAGACAGAAGCAGCCCAAAGAAGAAAAAGAAAAAACGAATTAACGAGACCTTACTACATCTCTTTTTTCCTTCACTTCGCTTCGTTCGTACCATCCTAATTGAACATTTTCTCCAGAGGTTTCCTCGGCCACTAACCTTGCATAAGCAGATTGAGAAGAGTACATTCCCTTTATAGGTTAAGCTCCACACATAGCTATCAGCCATGTCTTTCCGGGGGTATCCTAATATTTTGTTAGCAGCTTCAAGAGGTTATAACATATGCTCGACCGCTCCGTGGGGTCAATTACATCTTTAGAAGTTCAGTCATAGAAAAGATGCTCACTATTTGGCTTCTATAAGTGGCGCTTTCGATTGACTGCCTTCTTTCTCACTACTTCACGTTAGTGTGCAATTAAATCGACTCTAAAAATCTTTTGTGGTCTTGTCAGAGCCTTGCCGATTGCCCGTCCTTTTCAACTGATTTTGGGCACTCGGTGCACTACTCGTTAGGATCAATAAAAGCTTATTAAAAGAAAAGAGATTTGAATGCTGTTTTTTTTGTCACCGGAAGAGAAAGAGGTCAATTATATCGAGCCTGCTATCATCCATGAAAGAAATAAGAAACTCCAAAAGTCCTTTTATAAATGGAGCAAAGACCGCAGCCGCGACAGTAAACATATGATCCGCCCAACCAAGAAATCCAGGAACACCTATACTGATTATCGATATCAAAGTGATTTTCCTTCTTTTTCCCATTTGAAATTGCATTATTTCTTTTGTAAACTAAAGAGAATTTACCGCGTGGATATATAAAGAATCGAAACGAATAAGAAAGACGAAAGAGAATATCAGATATTCATAGAGGATAGATGTAATTTAGAAGAGATAGATTCCCTTCGCCTATCGGTGACTATTCAACGTCCTCTTCGTTGCTTCGCGACCACGCTTTTTCTTCTATCCCCAATTAATGCTGAGCTACTGAGGAGAACTATGGAACGCAACATTGACTTCTATGCGCTTGAGCTCGCAAAGCGACTATCCTTTCTATTTTAGTGGTACCCGCGTTGGTGCAGCCCGAGTTGGAACTTATCCCGTTTTTGAATCAATGTAATTATTTCCATTTCTGAATCAGATCGATGCAACGAAGTATTTAAGAGGGCCGAGTACATATTCACCGCGGGTATTCCTCAATGACCCTAGCCCGACTAAGATTTTGAGTAGAGTTGTTTGTTTTGACAAGATTCTATTTGTTTTGAGCCCGTCGAAGAGTTCTCGGACCCCTCCTTAATAATTGAAAGGGTATCCATTCTTCGACTTGACCAGAATCACCTGAAATTGCTTCTAGTGGAAGCCAGCCGGACTCGTCGGAAAGCCCGGAAAGGGCAACCGGGACCAACCGAACCCCTATTAGAAAGGCATGCCGAGCTCTTCGCTTAACAGCTCAGCAACAGTATTGGTGCAGACACCTAGATGTGCCATGAAACCAGTCCGCCATCTCCCTTCTTCATCGCGAATGAGTCCGCCAGCCCCCGCCACACCTGGGTTCACTTTAGCGGCACCGTCCGTGTTAAGTTTCACAAACCCCTCTTCAGGTTTTAGCCAAGCAATAAGCTTTCCAGTAGTCATCTTATTTCCTTTCGGAGGGTAGGCATCAACCAACTCACGGATTGAGCTTGCAATAACATTAAGCACTTTTTCCCCATCAATCATAGCATGAGAATCAAAAACAACCTCGCACCGTCGCTTCCATAAGCGCCAAAGAACTGCTGCAAAAACCTTGCTCCATTCACAGCCCATGATCATAGGTAAATCATGGTTCCATAGGAAATTCTCAAACCACGGAACTGGATCCATATCAAATAACTCAACCCACCCCTTGAAAAAGGAATAGTTGCACGCCAAATAGCGGCCGCTTCCGGGCAATCACGAAGTGCATGAATGGTCGTTTCCTCACTTGTTTAGCAGACGCAACACATGCCAGATTCATCTAAGTGCCATTTCGCCCTCAATCCATTTGTTAACAACCTATCCTTTCGTACCAGCCATAGGAAGTAAAGCCACCGAGCAGGAATTTTCAACGCACAATCCAGCGGTAGTAGAGAGAACAGCCCCGTTGTATCCCACGAACCATTGACAATAAAGCTGCTTTAGTACCCAGAGGATAACGCACATCAAGGGCTTGGTCCATTTCTATTATATATCCACCCATTTAGAATACCAAAAATCCACGTCCTGCCCATCGCCAATTCTCCAAAGAAGTCCCTGTTCAAGTTCCCGCAATGCCGTCATTAAACAACGCCATGAGTATGACCAAGAGGCTTTCTTAGTATCAGCCCTTAATACATACTGTACCACATCATTAGGAACCTTATACTTAGCAAAAAGTACCCTAACCCTTCGGCTATCGCCTCACCCAATCATCCTCTTCGTCGCGTTAGCGACTCAGCCACTTCGTGCCCTTCGCCTATCGGTGAAATGAAATAGGCCACTTCCTCCTTCTTTGGTCAGTATAGCCCCTGCCACCATCGACAATAGGGGACTGGACTTCTTTCTCGTGTGTATGGTCGCCCCTGTATAGCTATCTTGGACCTTAGTTAGAGCAGCAGCAAGTGTCACGGGTCGCAAGGCAGCCAACCATATGAAAGCATTTGATCGTCGCGGCGGTCAGGGTGACGCACTAGACCTGAAAATGGAAGGGCTGCACTTCATGTTGATGTCGGCTATGCGCCTTTTTGCCCTATATAACCCAATTGAGCTAGCCCGTGCTACCGCCCCATCGAAGCGAGTAAAGGAAAGTCTTTCTTTCTATTCCAAAGTAAAGTCCTGTTCGTACCACTCTCTCTTTCATAGTAATGAACGGTTTTAGCGGTGGTCTTTGGCTGCTCTGGGACAATGGAGGTGCGAGTGTGGAGGTCAAGTTCTCATGTACCCAATTGTGACATGTTCTGATAACTGCAGTTACTGAGCAATTCCTTAATCGTTAAGAGGACTGGGAAGTGAATGCCTAGAGTGACGACCTACAGGAAGACGAGTGACTCCATTTAAAGCTGTCTATGCTAGCGTTGAAAGATATAAGCTTCCTAATTCCATTAAAAGCTTCCCCCCTTCGGCTTCGGTGTGAGCGAAGCTTCCTTCGCGGATCTCCCTTGTGCTTGTGCGGGTTACTAAAGAAGGAAGCATCTCGATAGGTCCGATGCCTTGGGCTACTCCCAACTATACTTGGGTTAGGAGGAAGATGGGAACTTAGCCATCCTCTATTTGAGAAAGACAGGCGTCGTAAGCGAAATCGCTCTCCTTCTGACTAGGGATTCCGCATCACCAAGGATAAAACTTCCAGCTTCAAGGCTGCTGTGTTATAGGAATGGGAAAGGAGTCGACGACATCAGTCAACCTTCGACTAGCTGCTTGGTAGGGGATTGCGACCTTCATACTGAATAGGCAGACGGAAATTCAAAGTAGGCGAGCGAAGTGAAGTCTCTGAACTTCCATTTCTACTTATAATACTTAATAGAATACAGTTTCGCTTTTGGCTTTCGCTGTGGCCATAAGAGAAGCAAGAAGTTGAGACATCCTGCAGGAAAGGATTTCCCCCATAGCACCCAATCACTCTGGTGATCCCAGTACTTCTTTTTCCAGGTACTTTTGCATTCTCCCATTGATTCCTATGAAGTTCGTCAATTACATCGAACCTCATTCACAAATTCATCTTTGTTTATGCTGCTAACTCTCAGTTTGGAGGAAGTTGGG